ACTAACAAAACCTTCTGAACATAGGAAATGGGAGAGAAAATTTTACAGATTCTGAACTTTGAAAGAAAAGCTTAAATGAATTCTCTGTGTGGAGGAATACCTTACTCCATATATAAAATGCTACTTTCCCTGGGCCGAGAAAGAACTGTATATGGAAAGATGAGAGTCGGATGAATCCAGATGCTAAAAATTTTACATTTAGATTTGATATTAACACAATACACAGCACTTGAAGTGCCTAGTGAAGCATATGCAGACATATCCAGTTTGGGTACTAAAAGAAATTGTACAGGACACAGACAAAGGCCAGAGATAGCTCAGTGTCCAGACAAACCAGAAGCAAGACTTCAAGCAATGTTAAAAATAAAGCTATATTGACAAGTGGTGGCAAGCCCAGAAACAGAAGAGCAAGGAGAATAAGATAATCCGAAGTACCATATATAATTATTCTTGCATCAGCGCTACCCTTAATTTTACACAAATTAGGGAAGTGCAAGAAAGAATCAGTCTGTGCAGTCCCATAGATGTAGAACTATAAATTACCAACTGAAGATAGCAGGCAAGACTTCATATTCAAAGATTAAGATTCATTCAAAACTATTCACAATTATAGAGGTTGGACAATACTATTTCTGAAGGCCATATTCAAAAAGCTCATTATAAGAGACCTATAGAAGGACCGGGGAGAAAAACAAGGCATGAGGTCATATCTTAGCTTTCTTCAGAGAACAGACTAACGAACAAAACAGCCAGATTCCAAACTCTTCAGATTAGTCATATTAAAGAACAACTGTGGAAGACTGGGTTTAGCAAACCCTTGTCAGTCACTCTGAGTCAGTTCTTTAGCAGATCAGAAGTACGTTTTTCAAGTGACATACAATTCTGATTGGAAATCATCTGAAGCAGCAGCCTACACTTATGAGACATGAATTCAGATGTAAATAACTTGCACTCAGTTAACGTCAGCAGTGTATTAAGGGAGTCCTCAGTTAGAAATATGTAGGATGAAAATGTCAGAAATGAAATGAATGGAGAAAGGACCCAGCCTTTTATCCCTCTTTCTCCTGCACTGCTGGCAGCAGCACAAGGGGACAGGGCAGGGCAGGGCAGGCTCACCGCAAAGCAGCCTCTACCTGCAGCAGGCTCAGCCTCACCACGGAGCAGCCTTTGTCTCCCATAGACAGAGCTGCAGCCGTGAAGCAGCCCCTGTTCACATCGGCCCAGACTGGCTACGGGCAGAGGTTGCTCTGGCCCAGCAAGCAGCCCAGCTCAGTCCTGACTTGGGGGTAGGTCCCAGACCTGGCGCAAGCCAGGACTGAGCCGGGCTTGCTCAGTCCCAGTTCACACCAGGTCCAGGCCTACTCCTCGCTGCAGCTCTGCTGTTTAAATGTACTAAGAGCTGGGAGCTTTAACCTTCCTTACTGACTACACGATTAGCAAATTACCCACTTCTTAATATCCCTAGTCTATAATGCACTTTTGTTGATTTAACTTTTGTCACTCAGGGATGTGAAAAAAACCAACCCTTGAACAGCAAAAGTTTTAATGTCAAGCAGCACTGGTATGGGCAGCCCTTTATCAGTGGGAGATGACCTCCTGGTGATGAAGCTATCACCCCTTATTTGGGGCACTGTAGAATGGCATGGCTACAATGACGCAGTCACGCTATTGTAAGGGATGTAGTATAAACACAGCCAAAAACTTTGAACTGAGATTGGTCCCAAGCTGAGAAGTTAATTCAGGCTGTGTATTAAGAACTATCAACTGCCTGGAACGTGCAGCAGAGTGAGAAAAGCTGTTAGTTCAAATCTTGCTTAATTTTTCAAATTAGACATGACTTGGGGTGCAAGGTTGAGGGCTGGGGGGATTTGCTGGTGTTTCTGTATAATTCATGAATTGCTTATTCATGTCTGGATATGAGTGACAGGAGAGGTATCACCTGAGGATTACCTGTTGTTTTCCCTCCCTCTGGGGCATCTGGTATTGACCACTGCCAGCAGACAGGATATTGGGCTAGATGGACCATTGGTTTTACCCAGTATGTCATTCTTACGTTCTAACATTCATGCAATTTAGCTGGGTGTGTACTTGTATGTAGTTGGCTGAGCGACTGCAGTACCCGGAGGGGTTTTGTTGCTTCTCACTAGCATAGCATTATAACAAACAACCCAGAGAGAAGAATTAAGGAGGCACATAGTCCCACAATTCCAGATTGTATGTCACAGTTTTAAGACATACACGTTTTGACTGGAAATATATTGCCAGTCCTCCATGTTGCATGTTGGCTTTTGTTAAATGAAAGTGACAATATTATTTCAGAAAGTTTAACCACAGAACTGACACCCATGGACCTATGAGAAAAAAAAGGACAAGGCAGTATTATGTAGTATTTACATAATGCATATGAATCAGGGAACAGACTAAAGCAGTTACCTTGCTCATGAGCATTTCACATTCATTTTATCAATCAGTGGCTGATTTCAAACTCTATTTTCCCTATTTGCCATCAATCCGTATTTGAATTTCACACAGTTCCCAACAGATAGAATCTGAATAGATCCAATTTTTGTCTTTGTATTGTTTTCAAGAATCACTGTGCTCCAGTGATAAAGTTGAAACATAATTTGGATAGTATTTTTTAAAATAAATTAAATTGGATTTAGATTTTTTTTTAAAGAATGTGAATTGCTCTTTACATTTTAGAACTATCTTTATAGAACCTAATTATTACCTGATCTTGGTAGGAACAATTTTTAGACTTTTAGTATAATTATTTAATAAAGCGTAATAAGCAACAGTTAAAATTAAGCAGCCTGTCAATTTCTGTATAACATAAAGGCTCTGATCCTAAAATCTGTTCCATGTTGGCAGACCCTTATTTCCATAAATTGTGATACTGACAGCATGGGTTTCACATGGATACTAGTATATGCCCCCACAGATGACAGAATCCAGACCACGTGACTTTAAATAAATTTAGGCAGAAAGTGAACAAGTTCTGTCTTAATAAGGGATGTTAAAAATTGTGTAGAACAGTAACTGTGTATCCGCTAAAAATCTTAGCAGTGACACAGTTAAATATGCTGCAGGCCCTGAAATATAAAGCTTAGCTTTATACTACAGAGCCTGCATCAAAACCTCCCCAGGAGCGGAGTGGGTAGCTCTTGCCTGCCTGGCTGCTGGGGCAGAGGTTTTGCTGCCCTGCTGTATCAGCTAATTGATTCAACTCTATCATTTCTAGTCTTAATAACAGAAAGTACCTTTGACTTGAGGGCTACGTCTACACTGGCATGATTTTCCGGAAATGCTTTTAATGGAAAAGTTTTCCGTTAAAAGCATTTTTGGAAAAGCACGTCTAGATTGGCATGCCGCTTTTCCGCAAAAGCACTTTTTGCAGAAAAGCGTCCATGGCCAATCTAGACGTGCTTTTCCGCAAAAAAATCTCTGCTGTCTACACTGGCTCTTTTGCGCAAAAGTTTTTCAGAAAAAGACTTTTGCCCAAACAGGAGCAGCATAGTATTTCTGCAAAAGCACTGACAATCTTACATGAGATCGTCAGTGCTTTTGCGGAAATTCAAGCGGCCAGTGTAGACAGCTGGCAAGTTTTTCCGCAAAAGCAGATGATTTTGCGGAAAAACTTGCCAGTCTAGACACGGCCGAGGTGTTTGCCAAGTTATTTTAAAACAATTATCTCAAGTCAAATTTTGCCCCGGATTTAGGTTTTATAAAAGCAAGCAACCTGAGGCCAAAATAAAATATTGATTAAATAAAAAATGGAAAGCTTGGTTTTATAGAACATTCCCTGTAACACTTGCATTCCAAAACATGGCAGTCTGAAAAGAAACTGACTAAAACCAAAGTGAAACTGACCAGTGCATTTTCCCAGCCATAGCCCCAGAAATTGAGATAAATACAAAAAGTATTCCATATAAATAGGAAAATACATTCGTTTATCAACTTAACTTGAAAAGGCAATCTATAGAGAGCCCCTGCTTCTCTGGAAGGAAAAAGACTATGCCAAAGGACACCAGTTGCACCTTGGATATCAGCACAGTAACTTTCACTGAATAATTAATGTGGGGAAATTTCTGTGGCATGTGGATAGAAGTGAAATAAAGAATGCCAAGAGTATGTGGGTGATTAAATGGAGGAAAGGGTTACTGAGGATCAGTTTCAAAATGTATTTCATTATGTACTCTAGGGGACCCTTTAGTGTGCACTTGCTGGGTCTCTATATAGACCAATTAATGTGCACACTACCTCCAACTAATAGGCCACAGAAAGGCAATACAGAACAAGGCACAGTTGTATTTTGAACACTTATCAGTATTTTGGCAAGGATCAATAAACTAGACAAGATTTTTAAAAATGCTTGTCCTATCCCTGCCTGTTGTTTACTTACACTGTAAGTGCTAAACTTAAAAAACAACAAATGGTCTGGTAGCACTTTATAGACTAACAAAACATGTAGATGGTATCATGAGCTTTCCTGGGCACAGCCCACTTCCTTAGTTGACGGGAGTTTTGTAGGTAAGTGCTGTAGATCAAATAGACGTCTTAGATGTCTATAGTAATATATGCAACCGACGTTTCAATGTTTCATTTTAAGTTACCTACTTTACTAGCCACTAGACTAAAAAACAGCGCCTTTATTACAAATCCCGCCCACCCCAGGAGTAATGCTTTTGAGGTTGGTTTCTCGGACGTCCAGGGACAGTTCTGAGCCGACCTGATTGCAAGCCGACAGAGAACGGTGCATGTCAGTTTCCACACAGGGAGGAGTTAAAGCAGCGCTCGCTGCAAGGCCATGCCCGGCAGGGAAAGGGATTTCGGTAAGTTACTCGCACCCTTTCTCCGGCTTCCCGAATCGGACCGCTAGCGGCCGGGCCCCCGTTCTCGGGGCTGAGCCCCCATCCCTAGGGCACCTCGCCCCGCCCCGGCGGGGTCCCACCTGGCCAGGGGCCTCTCTGCCCTGCC